CCGCCGCCTCCCTTCCCTCCCCCTCCCCCAATCAAGTCCCCCTCCCTCGTCAGCCCAAAGAGCAATCAGGGTTCCCTGCCCTGTGGGAAGTCCAAGGAGAGATTGTAATTCTTATGTTTGTTTTGTTCCTCTCTCTCTCTCTCTCTCTCTCTCTCTCTCCCTCTCCCTCTCTCTCTCCTCTCTCTCTCTCCCTCTGTTTCTGTCTCTCTGTGTGTAAAAGTGTTACCATGTGGCCCAGGCTAGCCTAAGCCTAGAGCTTATTGTATATCCCTTGCTGGCCTTTGCTGAGGTTAGCTTTGAACTTTCGATCCTCTGCCTTAGTCTCCCAAGTGCTGAGGTTACAGGAGTGAGCCATCATGCCCAACTGGGATAGTATTCTTAACTAGGACAGGTTACTGCCCAGCATCTTTTCCTATTATTTGAGAATTCAATGGTATAATAAAGGACATTAATAGTTGAAAAATAGTGACTTCTAGGGATTCTTCCTTTTCACATACTATATTAGTTTTCTTTTAAATTATTTCTTCTTTAAATATCCTAACCTAATATACAGATGACATTTTGTACTTCTTTTTACCTTGAGTGATTTGGTAAATTTAGAGTTCTGCAGATACGGAGAAATGTCAGTGCTGTTTAAAGTCTTATGTACTTAAAGTTAAGTGATTCTCCAGCTTGGCTGCTCTCATTCCCAAAGGCAGCATTTCTAGTCGAATATCTGCCTGGGTGGAATAGTCCTGACTGCCAAAGGATGGGGAAGGAACTTGGAGTAGCAGATTTGCTTCTTCAGTTGAAAGGTTTTCACTGAAGACAATCCCTCACCCTGTTTTCAGTCCCTAACTTCTGCTGTTTCCACTGCTACTGAGTCTGGAGCCTTTAGAAACTCCAGAGGAAGGACATTCTGTCCCTGTCTCTGCAGCAGGGGACACGTTGAGGGTATTCATCTAGCTGTGTGATGGGTAGGGAAAGAACATGAGCATCCAGACTCTCAGTCTTCTAATTTCTTGTCCTCTTTGCCATTTTTTTATTGTGTTTGTTGTCATCATTTTCTGCTTCTTCATCTTCTTAGTTCTAGGAATCAAATTGAGTGACATCCCTAGCTCTTGATTTTTTTTTTTTTAATACAAGATTTTGTTAAGTACTCCAGGTTAGCCCTCAAACTTGTGGTCCTTCTGTCTCTTGCCTTCTTAAGTCCTAGGATCAAAGGTGTAAGCTATCATCATGTCCATTTCATATAAATATTTGCCTGTCATTATTCTTATATGTTCAGCCCTAACATATGTTGTTTGCATTTCAAGGTCTGTGCTATCTTAGGCATTCTGTGACGTCAGGTGCCCCCCACCCTGCAGCTCTGTTATTCTGTTTTCCCCTGTGTTATGTGTCACTGGATATATTCTGTTTTTCCTTTTCCAAAAACGTATTAAACTATTCTTTTCATTTATAATGGTTTAGATGAGAAGGTCCCTATAGTTCAGATGTTTGAATACTTGCTCCTTGGTTAGTGGAGCTGTTTGGATGAATTTAGGAGGTTATGGCCTTCCTAGAGAAAGTATGTCACTTGGGCTTTGAGGCTTCAAAGCCATTTCAGTTTGCTCTTTCTTTTTGGAGCTTGTGGTTCAGTCTGTGAGCCCTTAGCTTCTGCTCCAGCTACCATGCTTGCTTGCTGCCATGCTTCCCTGCTGTGATGGACTCTATTCCTGGAACTGTGAGCCCAAATGAACCCTTCTTTCATGCTGCCGTGGACACGGTGTTTCGTCACAGCAACAGAAAGTGACAACCATCACTATTTCTGCTTTCTCTTCCGATGGACTCACATTCTATCATATGGGCATTTGTGGGGCTTTAGGAGGGAGAAGAAAACCACCTGTGCTTAAACTTGCCTTGAAAACTGGAGGTATGGGAACTTGCTGCTAGGTTTGTCTTCTGTTGGTTTCAGTCAATCAGTGCTTTAACCAGACCAACAATGAGAATCTGAAACTTGTCAGTTCTTTGATTCCTTAGTACCTTCTGCTAATCATAGTATAGTTTCAGTACATAAAATTTAGGGTCTACAGAAGAATATAAAAATGGAAATTTCTATTCATCTAAGTTGTTTAAAAATATATAAAATTAAACGAAGTGTATTTGTACAGTCCTGTAATTCTAACACTTGTGAGGATGAATTGGAAGGATTGGGAGTTCCCTACAACCTGGGGTCTATGATGAGATCCTGTCATAAGAAAGTGAAAATTGAATTCATGTTACCTATGTTATTTTTTTTTAACGTTCAGTCCTTATATAGTGCTTATTACATGTCAGTATCTTGAGTATTTTTAACTCAATAAGTTATATGTAATTATTTTTATTCTCCCTTTTTTCTTATAACATCTCGTGAGTTTATCTTCTATTGTTATTTTTCAAATGCGGCTACATACTACTCTAATTAGGATATGCAGTTCCCCTGCTCTACTACAAGGTGATCTGATCACTCCTTTCTTTCACTATTTTATTTAGTGTCAGGGATTGAACTGAGGAGAGGATATCATGAATGTTAAGCACATACTCTTGCACTGAGCTACATTTTAGCCCTTGTTTTAAAAACTTTTTATTTTGAGACACAGCCTTGCTAAATTACATGGCCTGCCTTTGAGCTTACTCTGTAGTCCTGGCTGACTTTGAATTTGCAATCTTTCTGTGTTAACTTCCAAATTGCTAGGATTACAGGGTCATACCACTAAGCCCAGTTGGCATTTCGTGATACCTATTTCCAAGCAGCCATTTAATAAATGACATGGTTTATGCTGCCAGTCAGGTTGCTCAATTAATCTGTACTTTTTATTTAGTTTTAAAGTTAACTGTGCATATACCAGTATTTCCAGTCCCTGCTTTTTTAAAATAATATATGTTATTGAGTATGTAATTGCATTCCAGACAGTATTGGGCTGTGAATGTAGAGTTTAACCAGACGTCTGGCTGCAGGGATCCATCCCTGGGCACTCTGAAATTGTGCACTGAATTTCGTGTGAATCTACATTTGCAGGGTAGGGTGGGGGTGGGTTTGTGGCAGGGGAAACAACACTTTCATGATATTCTCAAGAGTGGAGGGAAAAATACTTAAGAATACTGTGAATACGTTCACACTCCAGCCTTCAAAGGAGCCAGCACAGTTGTTTTCAGTTTCACAGTTGAGGGTCACAGAGGTTAAACCATTTGTTTCTGTTCAGGTAGCTAGTGAGTAGTGGAACTCAAACCAGAACTCAAGATTTTACCCATATCTCTTTGTACATATATGGTGATTTCATGATAACTTTGCTAAGTGCTATTGGATTTGAGGTAAGAGTCTACTTTTCCATTTTGGTAATACCATCGAAAGAGAAGGTTAAGTATGGTGGCATGGTACATTCTTAGAGAATTCAGTATTTGCAGTGTTATTTTCTGGACTTTTATTGGGCACACAATAGCACTTGGGTTCTGGGATCTACTTAGTGTGGTGATCTCTTTGAAAAGTTAAGTATCAACATTTGCTAACTTATGGTTTTGTTTTTGTCCCCTCAAGATTTTTACATTGCTAAAATCTCAGTTGCATTTTCTTTAGAATTTGAAGGGAGGTGTGCTCTGTTGTCATTTTCAACCAGTGATTCATGGTGAGAGACTTTTTAGGCTAGTTTTCCAGTTAATGCAGAAGGTGGATGGTGATTTGGCATCTTTGTACACATTGTTGTCAAAGTAGTTCCTGCTGAGAGAAGAATGCTATTATGGTCGGGCGATCAGGCTGCTAAGTTATTTGTGATGTTTATATTTGCCTTCATGTCTGAAAGAGGAGTTTCATTAAAATGACCCACCAGTGACCATTTTGCAGTGCCACAATACATTGGTGATAAAACTAGGAACCTCAGCCAGAGGGGCAGTCTGGGTGTGAGAAATCAGACTACTCTGTGGAAGAGAAAGTGTGGGATGTAAAGGTTTTAGAATGGCCTGCCTGCTAGCATTAGTGTGAGCCCCAGGTTCCATAGGCCAGAGAGTATATGTTTGCAGGGACTGCAGGTAGTTAAGTCATGTAGAGTGAAGGGGAAGAGGACGGTATGTCAATTAGGAAACTGTTGAGTTGGAGTTAAACTGTAGGGAATCCATTATGCAGGTGAATAAATGCATACTGAATATCACAGCATTTTTTTATTTAAAACTACCACATTGATAATGACCATTTAAACAGTCCCTTTTTGTAACAGTGGGCATACAATGGCTTTGCAGGATCACTGTGAGTCTTTCACAGCCACTACAGCAATCCTTTGCCCTCCAAATCTGGACTCTTTAGTCCCATCTGTCTCTTCTGAGCTGTTGTTGCCCTTGCCCTTTGTACATTATTGCACACTATAGAGGTCTCTTTGGGGTACCTCCTGCTGACAATTCTAGATTTTGCTGTAAAAACTCTTTAGAGCAATTTATTTCCTAACTCTTAATTGTTCAGCATTAGATATTACCATTATGAAAAATCCTAAATTCCTTGTTGCCTAAAAAGGAATGAGGTAGAAAGAAAATGTATGTACAAGTCCTGGGCAGCATTAGTTTCTTCTGCGTCGAGGGGAAGAGTAGCTGGGTCTTCCCGGTCCTCTTCCTTGGGACAGGGTGTGCTTTGTCATTTTGATGGACCACTCTGGGCTAATAATCTCTTAATGAGGGGAAGCTGTTTTCTCAGACAAGCTCTGGAATATAAAATTGTAATTTAGATCACTAGTTCTTAAGAAAATAATGATACAGATAACCATTAAATTAATCATTCATCTATAATCTTTAAGAAACGTTAATTAATATTTAAGAATTTTCATGTTTTTGTGGGGAATTTGTATTTCAGATTCTCAATTACCATTATGATAGTGTAAGAAAATTTATTCTTTTTTGGTTCTTGTTAAGATTGATTTATATTGTTCTAATTGCTTAAGTAATATATCAAAAGTTTAATCTTTTTGATTGACATCTAATTTTTTTTAAACAAGCACATTTTTTAAACATTAGAAATTACAGACCATCTGGACACAATTGCGAAAATACCATTTTTGCAAGCAATCAGGGATGGAAATATCTTATCTTTAGGGGATTTTTGAGTGATTTATAAGTAGAAATGCCTATCAGATAGAGGCTAGCCTTGTGATCTTAATAATTGTGAAGGGTTATTAGGAGCCCTCATGACCTCTGTGACCACTGATGACTTGGGGTTCTGTGCTGTTGGAATAAATGTGTTTCTGGGTGACCTTAAGCTACACTGTTACCTCTGTTTAGGCTCATATCCTTAAGCTTTCCCACACAGTAGATTAAGATTTCTTTATGTGTCTTAAGCTTTTTTGTTCTTTGTTTTTATAACAGCTTCTTTATTTTAAAGTGACTTTGTTATTATTCTTGTATAATTTTCTTTACATAAGGGTTTTCTTTGTGTAAAGCAATCTTTGAAAATAAAAATGATCAAAATCTTTCATTTTAAGGTAACAGAAGATATAAAAAAAAATACTTTCTCAGATTCCATATGCTTCTCACCAGACTATTGGGGAAAGACATTAGCTTAAGCAAATGCTGACTTTTCTTCTTGTGCTGTATCTCCTGTAACTATTGGCAAGCCAGTAGGTTAATTTGTAGTTTTTACTTTGCAGATGATGTGATGCCAGGTACTTACTGTGAAATTGACTTAGATAAAGAGAAGAGGGATGCATTTGTATATGCTATCAAGAATCACTATTGGTACCAGATGTACATAGATGACTTACCAATATGGGGTAAGTACTCTGTTACAAACTAGGACTTCATATAACCAGTGTGGTGAGGTGCCTGTCTTCCAGATCATGGTGGAAATGTTCTTCTACTCTTTGCCCCAGAATAGTCTTTAATGATTCCTCCTACTGGAGGCATTCTGATGCTGCCAGACCTTATAGGAAACTCTCACGATAAAAGGTCTGTACAGTGAAACTTTTCTGACTGTAGGAATTCAGAGGTTCTTGGAACATTGGAAATTTCCTTTCCCCCTAGTTTCTTCACAGCTTATTTTCTCTTAAATATATCTAGAGGGACTGAGTAGGATTTTAAAAATTTACCTCTTGGGGGCTGGAGAGATGGCTCAGAGGTTAAGAGCATTGCCTGTTCTTCCAAAGGTCCTGAGTTCAATTCCCAGCAACCACATGGTGGCTCACAACCATCTGTAATGCCCTCTTCTAGCCTTCAGGCATACACACAGACAGAATATTGTATACATAATAAATAAATATTTAAAAAATTATCTCTTTATGTGCCACTGTAGTATGCTTTTAGGGGCATGATAATTTCTTGAGTGTTTTATTTTACTGGTTCCTTTGTCATTTTCCAAAACATTCAATATTGAAGAATTATTCTTGTTTAGCTCTTGCTTATCCATACTGTTGGGGAAGAAACATGATATGATTAATACAAATTTAGGCATAGTCCAAAAGTAACTTAAATAATTAAATTATTTGAGATCCAAGGAATACCATAGGCAATTACCATAGGCAACATGTTTGATTGCAAATTTTTCTGTCTCTAGATATATGCTCTATGTATAAGAATTACCTTTTAATCTTAAAATTGTTAGCCGATCATTGTTTATCTGCAGCAAAATTGACTGAGCACATTAGATCAGAATTTAATATATTAAAGAAATTTATGAGAAATTTAATCTCTTGGGAAGAAGAGGCAGGAGGATTTCTTTGAGTTTAAAGCCGTCCTGGTCTTCTTAGCAAGTCTGAGGCTACCCAAGATTACATAGTGAGACAATGTCTTATAAAAAGAAAAGCCAATCTCAAGAGATATTTGTATACATTATTATTACTCTGCTCTGTGTTAATTAGGTATATAAAATAAGCATTTTGTATAAATGATCGTATTAGTGTTATAGGACAGGCATTTCTGTGGTCAGCTCTGAGGGTGGTAGAAGACAGGCTAAATATTTGCTAAAGATTTCTGAACTTATAGTTCAGAATATAATTTAATATAGTTTAGAATATAGTTTAATGGGGAGAACCGATTAAACAAGACTTTTCTTCATTTGTAGTGAAAACAGATTCCTTTCATAGTTCTCCTATTATGATATTATTATTATTTATAATTTTTTTCAAATATTTATTTATTATGTATACAATATTCTGTTTGTGTGTATGCCTACAGGCCAGAAGAGGGCACCAGACCTCATTACAGATGGTTGTGAGCCACCATGTGGTTGCTGGGAATTGAACT